ATAGCACCCTGCTTGTGGACAGACCCAGTGTCTTGACGCATGGAGTAGCACCTGGTGCCATCATTATGGCACTTCTTCCTAGTGTCCTATGTCCGACTTAATACATCAACTACTACCATATTTTATGTAATAACAAGCATTAAAATAAATTCAACTAACACACTGGCCTCAGTAGAACCTTTGAGCGTTCACCTCATATAATGGTGACTTCTTTATGTGGCATTTAAAAGCTGGTGTGACGAAGAGCAACACGTTTTATGGATATACAACTTCTTTATTGCAATAGATGCGAAGTTTCGGTATAGATCCTAACACCGTTATTAAGTAAATCATTTATAATGGTGGTTATTTCGAAACTCAAGATGCACGCACGCATCCCTTAGACAGTTCTGTCCGAGCAGTGTCCTGCACAGACAGTTAACACCCAGAGTACACTTAATGCTGGTAATTATCGCCAACGGTCAGATGTAGTTTCCGCATCTCATTCCAGCTCTCGCATGTTTGACAAGTTTCCCATAACCGTAATCCAGGCATGACTAACACAATCTGCGTAACAAGCGTAACTGAATCAGATCAAAGATGCAAAAAAACAAGCAGAGATGTTATGAACTAGGAAAGAGTCAATGAAGAGCCCACATACATCTTCCTCAACACGCTGCCAGTACATCATTTAACGATTTTAAGTTGCACTGTTCATAATGGCTTTTTCATGCAGTTCAGAACACACTGATTACGAGAAAAACATATCGTGAGTTTCTTTCATTCATGTAAGCACTGAAACAGATATGCATCCGGTGCAATCTCTTTTTAGAAATCAATCACTGTAATAAGTTTGCTGGAAATGAAGCAGCAACGGAATGGTGACGAGGCAACTTAAGGATGGTAGATATTAGCACCCTTGTTAGCGTTCCAACTGCGGGTTTAGTTGATGATTGTGATACTGGCATTCCTTCAACAGATGGGTCATCTTATCATATCTGAAGTATTAAAGCTCTGTGTTGCGACTAATATGTACACTGAAGTTTAATGATGTTCAACGGGCATTAGAATAAACGGAAAGCAAGGTAATGTTGGAAACTTTGAAACATCGACGATAAACAGGGATTCGTGAGGACAGTGTCTATAAAGCTGTACACATAACACCCTCTTCATGACTAAATGCTATTGGACACTTTTGCACACAGATATTTGTCTGATGATTCTCTTGTGAAGCATCTCAAAATACATTCCGCAGTTTTCTTAAAAGAGCATGTTGGACATAATGTCACCGTCAGTGTTAATATTGTGTGAAATGAGTGTCAACCCAGTAGTGTATTTTAACAACTTGGCACAGACTCACTTTTCAAGGGATGGTTCTCTGAACGACCGTCATGTTTGTGGCTTTGACTGAAAGGACCTTTCATGGTACGTCCCAGAATATGTGGAGGATGTCGTGGAAACTGATCATTATACAGTCCAACATTTGTCCATGACAACAAGCCTGATTTTGACTTTTTTAAAATAAAATCAGTGAACTCACTTGACTTTTCTGTCCCTTTTGACACAAATGTCAATGACAAGATTCTGTGAAAACATTGCAGCTATGGGGACCTTGGTGACGAAATGCCACCCTTTGCATCCAAAGTGCAAAATTGTCCCACTCCTCCCTGCTCTTTGAGCCTTTGATTTGGCACATCCCAATCTCGTGACTGACATTGAGACTGTACCCCGTTTACTGCATGGGACAGAGCACTCCTGACGCCCAGGGTAATGCAGAAGGCCAAAGTATTGGGGTGTCTTCACATTCTTCAAAATCTCTCAGTGGGTTCGATCGCAACTGGACAGCGCTTCATGGGTTGCAAGTGTAGGGAACAAGGGTCCTGAGCTGATAATGAGCCTAACAAGTCTGTGCCAGGATTATCCAAATTGTCGTTATTTTGTAAAATAATGTTAAAGAGTGATCACCTGCCTAACACCAAACGTCTGACCGACTATGTCATCCTACCCCAACGGGTTACAACACAGCTGGTTTACTTGGGGTCAGGTTTTGCAGGCCATAGAGACGCTAAAGCTGAATAATGGCCTATGGGCAAAACCTACACCCCTACGTGACCATCGTGACAAGGGCGTCAATCATATTATGTCCACTCTGTAATGGTCTATGAGAGTTCACCTGGAACAGTAAGACGCAGATGCAAACAAGACCACAAACCAATTTAAGTTGCCATTTACGTTGACGATAAATGGCTATAAGAGACTTGCTGTCAAGGAGTCAGTTGATACTAAGCAAAGGCCACATTAATCGTGAGATGGAGAGACCTTTACCTAGGTTAGCAGATGAAGGCTCCAACCACAGGGGACTTACGGAGAACTGCCGGAACCATGAATAATTAATGTTATATTCATTGTCAAATACGAATCCGTATATAGAGGTCCTTGGAGGAAGGTATAAGAAATATACTCTCATACAATCTCCGTTGGATATGGTAATGATCAGGTCTATTAGCAGAAATAACGTGGTTCACTTCTTGTAATAAATACACCCACCGACTGGCGTGTCATGAGGGTTTCATGTACTGGCTGTATCAGAAAGGATACTTATACATTGCTGTTTGCGATGGAAACTAAAAATACACAACAAAACAAATAATTGTCACATTGTATCATCTGCCCCTGTCAAAACAGTGTATGAGAATACCGGTAGCGGATCATAATAGAAACATATTTTTACATTTTCCGAAAATAGATACAATATTTAACAATCTATCACCACACTGCGTTAAGTAAGTTACTTGTATGGTGACAATTGTTTTCCTTGAAAACAGAGTAGAATGTCAGAACTGATACAGTACAACCAGAAATTATTGAGATTTAAAGATTGTAATTTTTTTACATTCATTACTCACGTATAAAATGTGAATATTAGCAGAACATAACTCCAGATCCAAAGACAGGTGAACAGTTAGTATTTTGTCAAGTCACCATGGGCAGCAATGCAGGCTTCAATGCAGCGGGGCATACTACTGATCAAAGAAGTTAGAAAGTCGTGGTCCATGCTGTCCCAATATCGGACCACCTCTTCTTTCATTTCAGCAATATTTGTCAGATTTTTCTTATTGACACTTTCCTTCATAAGTCCCCAAACATTTTCTATTGGATTTAGGTCAGGGCTATAGCTTGGCCAATGTAATAATGTCATATTTTGGGTCCGAAACCAGGCCTGTGAATGCTTTGAACGATGTTTTAGGTCGTTGTCCTGCTGGGAAATCCAACAATTTCCATAGAACACGTGAGCAGAATATCTGTGTACCGCTCACTGTTCATATTCCCTTCAAATACACAGAGGGGCGTTGCCCCTAACACAGATATGCCACCCCACACGTTACATTTCGGACTGTACTTTGGGCGCTGATACAAAGGTTTTTCAGTTTGTTTGGTCCAGAATTTCAGCGTATTAGGAAACAGCCAAACAGAACTTTCATCTGAGAAAATCACATTGTCCCAGTTAAAATTTCTATGCTGTAAGCACCAGTTCAACCTTCGCTCCTTTTGGTCAGGTTTCATGATCGGTGATGAAATTCCTCGACTTTTCTGCCAACCTATTGCATGCAGCTCAGTTCTAATTGTCTCCTTACAGACAGCCAGAGTTCCTCTATCAATCATATCCAGCCTTAAGGTTTCTAAACCCCTTCGTTTGTTTTTAGAAACAAGAATACCAAGCCGCCTCCTGTCACCGACCGTCAACTTTCTGGGCCTACCTGCGCTTCCCTGGTGCTCAATGACATATCCATTTGCAATATTTTTCAAAACACGATAAACAGTTGACAAAGGGATGCCTGTTCTACTTGAAATCACTTTACATTATCTCATGTCCTTGTTATAATACTCTAAAATCAACTTCCTCTTCTCTAAATCATCCATACAGAGAATCACTGAAAATGTCGTCTGCTAGCAGGTAAACAAAGGGGGGTAACTCTTCACAAACTAATGAAAAAGGATTAACGGAATTGTCTCTCTCGAATGAAACCAAGCACTTGATAGCTTGTCAAGGTTGTTTATACTAGAAATCCAATTAAACATATTCCTAAAATTCTCAATAATTTCTGGTCATACTATATATGTACGGAATATTAGTATTGCTTTATCGGCCAACTGAGACATTTTAAAAACATTTCGTACATTAACATGCATCCATGTTTGATGGTGGCTAAACATGAAAAATAAAGAAATGTTTCTGTGAATGTAATGTATTCGATACGGGCATGATAGTTGTGGATTAGCCTCCAAGGCTATACCTGATGCTGAGCCCATGTATGTACAATAGTTATTCTATCCTCCGAAGAGGCAAGTACAGATCCAGTCTGTTACATATTATTGTTTAGAAATTATCCTTGAAACTATTAATTTTTTTTACCTTAAAGAGTTGTGCAAATCCAGTTGTGGACCTTGAGTTTGAAATGTTTCGGCGATTGTTTTCAGTCATGTAACATTTTGGAACATATTTCAAGCGTAACTATACTTATTTATCTTGGCAGTTTGTCCTGCTGCATCTGGAAACATCAGTCTATGACAGCATGTAATGGACTTTCAGGGTTCTGTTCTCGAAAATTACCTGCTAGTTGCGTACGAGCCCGCTGACAATGCTACCTGTTGCATCGCTGAACACAATAGCTGCCGTTATTTCAGTTTTTTAATTATTGGCTCCACAAAAGCCAAACGGTTTTAGGAACACTAACGTCAGTGTATCTAACAATAGGTATCATCTGAAGAGAAGACAGGGCACGGTACATCATAGACTTGATCAACACAGGTGAATTCATTATATTATTTTCAGCTGATATATTCTTAAAATGCAGTGACTTTCATTACATTCATCAAACTCAAAGAACATCTAAAAGGGGTTGTATTAATGTCTTACTAAGTTGCATCAATAACGCCGAATTGCACTGTAGGTCAGATTGTGCAGCTAAGTGCATCTACATCAAAGTGATAGATTATCAGATTGCAGGTAAGCCACCTACCTGATTTACCGACGCCTCGTAGTCCCAGTACAGCTATATTGACATCCTTCCCCCCATTGCCGTAGCGGGGACCGTGTGCTTTATCGTCCATATTCCGCCACGTGCACGGAGTTAGCAGAACTGAAGCAGACGATATCCGCTCATCTCGTCTGCTCGCCTCAACTGACGGCATTCGCTGCGCGGCTGTTTGTTTTGATGTGGTGGTCGCTGTTATTACCTAATTGACTCGTCAGCCTCCTAATAAACACCGGCTAATCTCAGTCCCGGAACAGCATGCCGAGTATCCGCTTTGGACGACAAGTGGGGAATAAAACAGAAATATGAAATGAGACTACGTAGGTACTACGAGAGAGAGGAGAGAGAGAGAGAGAGAGAGAGAGAGAGAGAGAGAGAGAGAGAGAGAGAGAGAGAGAGAGAGAGTGTGTGTGTGGGTGTATGTATGTATGTATGTATGCATGTATGTATATGTGTGTATGTATGTATGTAATGTATGTGTCTGTCTGTCTGTATGTATGTATGTATGTATGTATGTATGTACCTACGTACGGATGGATGGATGGATGGAGCACGCCATAAGTACTCGTCCACAACATCTCTTATTCAGTTTCGAACAGTTGAGAACTATATTATCATAGAAGTGTATTTTAATGAAGAGCGGCGACAGACAGGCTCACCTTTTGACTTCGACATGTAACAATTCAATCAGTAATGACACACGCAGGAGACCCAGTATACACCACGACACTGGTCAATACTGACATTTTTTCATGCTGTTTTGTCGGACACGCACGACATATTTCTTTTCAGTGTGAGTTTTGAATATTAATTCGTTTTCATCAAAGCGTGCCAGCTAAATGTTGACGGACCATGCCAAGCAGGTCTTAACGCCTTCACTTTGGTGAAACAAACGAGCAGTGTGTACCTCAGAGTGGCCTGCAACGCCTTAGACGACGTGGTCAAGGGTTGCACTTATTTCGAAAGTAAACGTCCTTGCTCGGATGAAGTAGAATAATGTCACTATCGCAGAATCATATGTTGATTACTCAGTTGTTGTCTTAATTGCTTTGATTTCGTTGTTGGTTTGTTGTTTAACGCCGCACTCAGCAATGTTCCAGCTATATGGCGGCGGTCTACAAGAGTCTGGACCAGATACCAGTGATCAACAGCATGAGCATCGTTTGGGCTACGATGACATGCGTCGAACAAGTCAGCGAGTCTGACCATCCGATCCCGTGGGTTGCTGAAGACAAATTCTAACTTTGCTTTGAAGTATACGTAACAAAGTGCTTGGCTTCAGCAATGTGTTTTTATGTTCCCTGTCCACTATGTTCTGTATGAATTGTTTTAAACTAAACATTTGGACATCCTGCAAGAATCGTGCAGTTTTCATGATAATTGATGCAGGGATACATGTGGCCTGCTTATAGGGGAACCAGATGTGTCAAGACAAACCACGCATGTCAAGACTGATTTAACTGTCGTCTCCTCACTCTAAAGGTTCGTGTGATTTCATCATTCACTACCAAGCGAAACTTGAATCTAAACTATATTTTGTTTCGGCTTTCATAGGGCGGTGGGTTAGTCTAGTGGTTTAAGCGTTCGCTCGTCCCGCCGAAGACCGGGTTCGATTCCTCACATGGATACAGTGTGCGAAACCTTTATCTGGTCTCCCCCGCCGTGATACATACCAGAATATTGTCAAAAACGGCGTAAAAGTAAATTCACGCATAGGAACAACCACGCGACCATATGTTTATCCAAATAAATGTTCACACATACTGATAATCACAACATGTTTAACACTGTGATCGAAAGTGCGGATTTCAGCAGATTGAATTGTTAATAGTACCCCAGGAAGTGGTCTCACACATACTAATGATGCTCTTGATTATATTTGTCTGAAAACCCTTATGAGAGAAAACCTTAATGTCTGTGCCCCCCCTCCTAAGTAGGACTGTAGCACAATTGTATTGATAGTTAAACCTCGTTACAAAGGTAAATAATTATCCGCAAACAGTCGTAGATAGACGAAACCGCTTCACGTACTGCCCCCTGTTGTGCGTGTTTGGTCGGGTTGAGGTAAAATGTATCCACTATGTATGACTCAACATGATGATGCCCTAGGCTTCGTCCTGAGTCACTTCCAACATTTATCGGCCTTCCTTAATATTCAGCAACTCGATTGTCATTCGCATATATAGTCTTCATGTCTCTGTGTTTTCCATTTGACATGTCCGTTTTAAACAAGAATTTAATCAGAACTTGTTTCTCAGCTGACTCCGTCGTCTCTGTTTCACACACTTCATCAGCTTCCTCGCATGCATGCACGAAAAATGAGGCGGTCTGTTACTGTCTGTGAAAAGAGAACATCGTTCATAAATGCTGAATACCCCCTCATTATGCAACTCCGAACCTATGAGGCCACAGACATTGCGATTAACCGTCGTACATCTTGACGACATCACCAGAATCATACTGTCTATGTTCTATACTGAGGAGGAGTGAAACATACATGAAAAATGCTACACATTTTACGAGTGCTTCTCAGGGAATTTATTAGGGGATAACTGTACTGTGTTTGACGAATTGGGGACGTATACCGGTGGTTATATAGCCGCAAATTTAGTTATATCGGCGACGCGTAAGCGGAGCCGATATAACGTTAAAGCGGTGCCGATATAATTTAGATATATCGGCGACGCGTAAGCGAGCCGATATAACCACCGGTATACGTCCCCAATTCGTCAAACACAGTACAGTTATCCCCATTCTAATTCAACTCGTTTTACGCTGTTTTTTTCGTGAAAGAAATTCATTATTTAAACCAGGTCAAAGTTCCTCTAGGTCAAAGGTTAATCATATCACTCCTTCAACTTACACCATCGCCAAAGAAAGTAGTTCCCTGTTCAAACTACACACGTTTATTAGTTACAGACTAAATTTGACAATGATGAATAGATCATAGTATTATAGATAAAATGGACGGTATTATGATGAAACCACCCTCTATGTACAGAAATGAGCGGCCCGCTGATTCCTCAACTACGGGCCATTATCAGTTCTGTTGCCAAATGACGTCATAGCAGGTGACGTCACGCTCCATAATGACGTCATAACCTTGTTTCATGATCTAACAGTGTTGGGTCAACAGCCCGTTGCGAGTAAGTTGTTTGAACTTAAAATTAAATTTTTGATACTGTTTTGTCTTTTTTAACACAAATTCCACCCATTTTTGCTGGATAGGGGAGTTAATTGACCAATGGCTTCTGCAAATGACAATGTCCTGCGAAACAGCGTTACCCCAATAGTGTAGGGATACATTCAAAGGTTTCGGTGAATCGGTTTTCAAATTGCGACCGTATATGCTGATTATACGGTCGGAAATTTATAGCATTGACCAATCAGAACTCGTGTTACATACTAAGTTGAATTAGAATATCTGTTTGAACGCCCACACAGCAATATATACGTGTGCCGTCATCAAGATCACAATTAGTACAGATAGGCGGATCCAGGAATTTTCAAAAGGGGGGCAAAACATTAACTTCAATGTGGTCATAAGTGATTTTCAAAAGGTGGGGGGGGGATGTCGAAACCCCGAACCCCACCTCCGAATCCGCCAATGTATAATGTATGTGTTTTTATGTGTGATAGGTTAACAGTGATGTAAGCAGAGTGCGACTGTCGGCGTTGGAGGAGTGTGGCATGAGAGACCATTGTATGTATCTGGGAAGTGATATTGGGGGTCAATTTAGTCGGGTAATACAGTTTAGGGGTTTGTAAGGACTGATTTGAAAGGTGAGAGTTGGCAACCAGTGGGAAAGTTTAAGTGCGTGTCAGGAAGGCTGGCTTCCCTGTATATTCGACTGTTTTGAGTATTATTATTATTTTATGTTATGTTTCAGTTAGAATATGTCAATGGATTGTATATATATATATTGAGATTTAAAGGTATTTCACCTTCAAATATGTAACCTTAACTCAGGGGAAATATACTGAAAGGCAAAAGAAACGTCGTAATATTGGAAAGGACATTTAAGGTGAGGTGAGGTGAAATTGGGTTTAACGTCGTGCTTGAGAATATTTCGCTCATATGACGACGTGCATGCGTGTGTATGTGTATGTGCGGCTGTTTGTACTAGCCCAGACTCAAGCTGGTTTTATAGTGCTAGCCCACTGAGATACCATGCCGCAGTGAAGCATGAATACCCCACTCTCACACATTATACTGACTCCGAGCCGACCAGTCCTAGTTGTGCCAATTAATGCCGAGCGCCAGGCAGGAAATGACATTCAAGCATCGATGGAGTATTTGAACCTATTTGTTATAAATATACACCAGTCAAGTTTGAGGAAAACATAAATCGTGGTCGCATAGCCTGTATTGTCCTAAAAGGTTTTGTTTGAGATTGAGGTTTGAAATGTTTTTGTTTGCGGAAAGGGAAGAATTCGCACAAGCACAACATTGAAATCGACATGCATGTGCATCATGCATTCAGACATAAATTGCCAGCTTGAATGGCAATCGTTCACTTATTTTCTGAACACAGCAGCTATGTGGCAGCTGTCGATCTGTAAATGATGAAATCAGAACCCGACAACCCAGTGATTGACATTATGACCACAAGTGTACGTAATTCATACCATGTCGTGTACCAACTGTGTCAGCGAGCCTAACCATCACGTCTTACGATAGTCATGGTTGGTGAAGGCTAATCAAATTCTAACCCCGACCTCATGGACTCAAACATGGACTTGTTTACAGTACAACTAACTATCTATCTTACAACGAAGCTGACACTACAGCCATTGGTGTAACTTATTCACAGTATCTCCCCCATCAACTGAATATACCTTGACACATTTCCAGGTTGAGACATTCTCCCAAACGCATGTCTTTAAAACACATTTTGAACACATTTAAGAATTCTCTATTTGACAACGCGAGAAGATCATATAAACCTTTGTTTCGTTATTGTCGCCGTCATTGTCAACAGAATCCATTCCGATGATGTTTTGAGGTTTTGTTTTAGTAAATGATACTCTCTACAACTACACAGTTGAAACAGTCCCACGTCTCTATAGCTACCTGAATATAGTTTTAATGTTTCTGTAACTAATTGAATATAGTTTTACGTCTCTATAGCTAATTGAATATAGTTTTAATGTCTCTATAGCTAACTAAAAATAGTTTTACGTCTCTATAGCTAATTGAATATAGTTATATGTCTCTATAGCTACCTGAACATAATTTTATGTGTTTGCAGTTTGTGATCTTAACATTCTTTTTCTGCAGAATTCCAGCTTGTAATAATGATTCAACCAGAAATCTGTCCGTTAAAGAATTTGGGGTGAAACCAATAAAATATGACCCAAAGAAATGTCATAGAATTATCTGTTATTTCTAATATTAACTGTATTTACAAATCGATACATATCTCTGCAAGACAATGTTAATTGCAGTAATTATAACAATAAATACAATCATAATCATATCTCCTCGCTGCAATGGCTGTGTTTGCCATAAGATGGAAAAATACTTGGAATTTCCGTTACAAGATTTTTCCTTCTTTTCGAAAGGCACATTAAAACCAACATTCAGCCTAGGTTGACGTGGCGAAAGCAATCGTCAGTCCATACACAAAGATATTTAATCGAGGATCGTTTATTGTGATTTGGAAAATCTACTAAGTCGTTAACGGCTTGTGGTTTCAAAGGCCATCGTTTTGGAACAACGGGATTCCACTGGAATGTGATATGACACCATAGCCTACGAAGTTGACTGATCTCATGAAGGTAAGGGTATGCATCACTTCAACCCGTACTACTTCCTATTTCTACGAACAGTCAAGGAGTTCCGGGATGGCGTCATGGTTCCTTCAAGCACTATCAGTTATCGACACTATCCCAGCAGCTCCTCCACGGAGTCCTGCACAGTGCTGGAGATAACAACCATAGCATAGAGGTTCAGGAGAGGCGTCCAGACCTCCTCCCTGCAAGTACTAGTACTACATCTAGCATCGCAGTCATGCAACTAATCGAGAAATAGCAGTTGACTTTAACTTATACCAAGTATTGCACAATACAATGGCAAGTAAGCTTTATCGTGGCCAGCTCCTTGTTCATTTATGGATTACATTACAGTAGCGCATTATACCTTCCTCAGTAATATACTGAACGAATCTCCTAAAGAACATACACTAGCCACAAAAAGAAACAGAAAGTTTATGTCCAAATTTGAAAATTTTAACACCAATGAAACGTTTCCATGTAAATTTTAATCGGCGAATACATGAGATCATAATGAGTGAGTGAGTTACTATGGCTTAACGCCGCTTTTAGCAATATTCAAGCAACATCACGGCTGGGGACACCAGAAATGGGCTTCACATATTGCACCCATGTGGGGATCGAACCCACGTCTTCGGCGTGACGAGCCAACGCTTTAACCACTAGGCTACCCCATCGTAGCTATGAGACCATAAGACGGCGGAGCAGTATGTGTACTGTATGACATTGACGCTTGGAGACCAAACGTACGGCAGGAGTCAAGCATGAATGTCTCAATATCAGGAACTCTCACCGTGAGCACCGAGAACAGCACTGTATCACCGACACATAAAATCTATCAAATAGGCATGGGAAGCCTGTGGAATGGCTTGCCATGGTCAGCTCTGCTGCCAAATCACGAATGACGCACAACGTAAACATCTGAACCCACACATGCACTAGAGGGGAGGGATCTGGTTAACTGATAGGCCAAGGCAGTACTTGAACATGATACTTTCATCTACGTAGAAAATGCTTTTATTTCCATATATGATCTCATAAATGAGATCGTGACATTGGGTTTTGTGACCCTAGCTGGATATAGTTATACAACCGGTGGATAAGGCTGACACAAACGTATAAAGAAAATATGCATAATGCGGTAAAACGTCGGTACAAATTATGAGTCAATATGGTACCTCAAGAAAGACACATCAAGGTTGAAAGTCAAACAAATCGGCCATTATTGGTAGAGCCAAAGGTTACATAAAACAGACCCGGCACGTAAATTTAAGTATCATCAACGTAGATGTAAGTACAATACGTACATGAAAATATTTCCTGCGAAGACGAAGGTATCATCTACGTAGAAATAAGGTTTCACCTATGCAGATGAAAGTAAATTTAAGCATCATCTACGTACATGTAAATGTAAGTATCGTCTACGTAGAAGTAAGCATTCTATATAGATGCGGAGCCGGGCTGACGATGTGTCATTGTAACCTGGGATACGGAGAAAACGGACCCCTGCGAAAAGGGACCACCCAAATAACGAGAAAACGGCCACCACGCAGGAGAGAACGGCCTCCGAACCTAGAGAAAACGGCCTCTGTGCCCAGAGGAAAGATCAAAGGAGATCATATTTATCCTAAATATTAGTGAGTTGCTTTATTGCGGAAAAGGTATTAAACATTGATTTATTATTTTATTAGTTTCGATATCCATGATCCATGGCGGTTTAACTTTTAAATTAAAGATGAATGCAAAAAGAAAACATTAAAACGAATGAAGAGTGGTTTGACGAACATTCTGCGACAAACAGTCATTCTATTGAGATGTTAGATGTGCAACAGTGAGAGATGAATAAACGCAAACTAATCTACAGGTACTTGTCTGTTACATATCTGTTTCTGTTTCTTTTTTTTTTCGTTGAAAGTGAATTGAACACGTTTGCCTTTTTTTGGGGGCGTTTTCGCTGGGGTCCGTTTTCACTATAATCCGACATGATTCGGGTAGATATTGATAAATGCTGCGAGAATATACATACACCGTGATTAGAAAAAAACAATGACACTGTGAGATTATGACACGATTTAAAAAAATTAAACATAACCCGTAATATCAACACAACAGGCACACGATTTACTGAAACTTAAGTAAGAAATGCAAATGTACAATAGAGCAAACAGTTCTCTGAATGTGTAAGTATTCACTCAAATGTGTATATAAGAGCCATATATCATATTTGAATGGACATAATCGTAATATTTGAGTACAGATATTATTACAAATAGAGTAGTATAGCTGTATTTTAATGGCGATCGACGAATATTAAATTACAAATTAGGTGAAGAATGAGGACTCTTTTTATGGATATACAACTTCTTTATTCTATTTTTTTAAGTCACAATATGGCTGAAATATTGCCGATGTGACTATAAATTTTAACTCACTCACTCACTCTTTATTCTATATAGGCGACGTTTCGACATAGATTCTAAGGTTGCTGTCAAGCAAGTGATGACAACAAATTAGGTTACAATTATAAAAACAAAAACATCAGAACAGCTTAAAGTTTTCAGAAAGAAAGTAGATCTGTTCAGCTCTTTAACATATAACCTTGTCAACTGAGTGCTTGGTTGCTATATACTTTCGACTCAATCTTTATGACGTTTTACTGAAAATACACGCACAATGATAGTTGATAGTTGATAGAAATAGTGGGGTTTTTTTTGCCTTATGTTGGGTAATAACAAACATATTTTCTCAAGGCATATATGACTATAAATCGAATGTTGTACACATTACAGTATGTAGTTGCAAATCCTACCAACAGCAAACATGTAACAAGTTCAAAGGAATAACGCTCACATAAAGATTATTTTATATGGAGAGCTTTTGAAAATGAAACTAGCAGATTCTGACAAGTGTATTTTTTGTAACGACCTACAGGAAACAATCTGTCATGTATACTGGAATTGTAAGGAAACCCATTTGTTTGGGAATGAGCTTGAGATCTGGATGAATAAATACCTCAATAAAGATATCAAAATATCAAAATATCTGGTTTGGTTTGGTACTTCTCAAGCCAACAAAATACTAAACCATATAATTTTCCCTGCAAAGAGACATATGTATTTATGTAATGTAAAAAAAGCCCAATTCCTTAATTAAATAACCATCTGAAAACCTTAGAATTCATCTTTCATGCAGAAAAAAAACATTGTAAAAGAAACAATGATGTAGAAAATTTTAAAAAATGGTTTCCTTTCATCCCATTTCTCAATCATTGACTGTTCAACACCCTTTAGAAGCTGGTACGTGTCAAACTATCTTACCTGACAGTGTATATTGCTTTTGTTACTGTTGCGGCAGAGTAGCCTAGTCGTTAAGGCTTTGGCTCGTCACGTAACCATGCGGGTACTCAAACCCAGGACATTAGCGTCCACACATTCACATCCGCTCTCACGAAATAAAAAGACAAAATATTAACGGATGTCACAAAGGGGAAATTGTCATCATTTTCCATACCAGTGTTCCGATATTCATCAGTAAATAGTATCCATTGCTGACAAAATACACTCTGATTTGGAACTCACTTCCCAAACTGTATTGCATCGTCGATGGTTTCCGGTAGCTCTTTATGCATCGTTTCTGGAAGCCATAGGGCAAGTATTCCCGCCACCACACTCAGAGCGCCAAACACGGTGCTGGGGAGAGCCCTGCCGAAATCCCCACCAACCATGATACCCTACATAGAGATAAAATAAAGATGCCTGACAATACAGTACATTTAGACCACTTACAAACTGTTGAGCCTGCTTCTACTATTTCTGCTATGTGTCGGGGGTGTAAATCAATATTCATCGCGTGACATAAGAAACAATTGCCGTTGATCCTAATTCAAATATGCTTGTCCACCGTTCTTTCAGTGCAATGGGTGAGTGAGTGAGTTTAGTTTTACGCCGTACCCAGCAATATTCCAGCTACAGTACAATTAGAAATTATTGAGAATTTAAAGATTGGAAAAAAAAATCATTTTTTTCACTCTTTACTCACGTATTAATGTGACTATTAGCAGAACATAACTCCAGAATCAAAGACAGGTGAACAGTTAGTATTTTGTCAAGTCACCATGGGCAGCAATGCAGGCTTCAATGCGGCGGGGCATACTACTGATCAAAGAAGTTAGAAAGTCGTGGTCCATGCTGTCCCAATATCGGACCACCTCTTCTTTCATTACAGCAATATTTGTTGACACATTCTTATTGACACTTTCCTTCATAAGTCCCCAACATTTTCTTTTGGATTTAGGTCAGGGCTATAGCTTGGCCAATGTAATAATGTCATATTTTGGGTCCGAAATCAGGCCAGTGAATGCTTTGAACGATATTTTGGGTCGTTGTCCTGCTGGAAAATCCAAACATTTCCATAGCGAGCAGATGGAAGTAAATGTCCCTCGAGAATATCTGTGTACCGCTCACTGTTCATATTCCCTTCAAATACACAGAGGGGCGTTGCCCCTAACACAGATATGCCACCACACACGTTAAATTTCGGACTGTACTTTGGGCGCTGATACAAAGGTTTTTCAGTTTGTTTGGTCCAGAATTTTAGTGTATTAGGAAACAGCCACACAGAACTTTCATCTGAGAAAATCACATTGTCCCAGTTAAAATGTCTGTGCTGTAAGCAACAGTTCAACCTTCGCTCCTTTAGTTCAGGTTTCATGATCGGTGATGGAATTCCTCGACTTTTCTGCCAACCGATTGCATGCAGCTCAGTTCTAATTGTCTCCTTACAGACAGCCACAGTTCCTCGATCAATCATATCCAGCCTTACGTTTTCTAAACCCCTTCGTTTGTTTTTAGAAACAAGAATACCAAGCCGCCTCCTGTCACCGACAGTCAATTTCCTGGGTCTACCTGCGCCTCCCTGGTGCTCAATGCCATATCCCTTTGTAATATTCTTTAAAACACGATAAACAGTGGACAAAGGGACGCCTGTTCAACTTGAAATCACTTTAGCTGATATGATGTCCTTGTTATAATACACTAAAATCAACTTCCTCTTCTCTAAATCATCCATACCGAGGATCACTGAAAATGTCGTCTGCTAGCAAGTAATGGAAGGGGGATAACTCTTCACAAACTAATGACAAAGGATTAACGGAGTTGTCTCTCCATTGATCAACAGCATGAGCATCGACCTGCGCAATTGGAAACCGATGACATGTGTCAACCAAGCCACCGAGCCTGACCACCCGATCCCGTTAGTCGCCTCTTACGACAAGCATGGGTTACTGAAGGTTCATTCTAGCCCGGACCTTCACGGGTCTTCAGTGCAATTACCCGTCACTCAATTGAAACGGGGACATCTTCCAACGTTTGACTCAACGACGGTCCATTGTCATGTTTGTTTCCAATGATGTAAAGATGCGGTATGCTGGTCTGTAACAGTAGGTATTTGTATCCAGCTGAATGCCTCATATATCCGTAAGATATATTGTGTAAGAATTCTTACCAGACTAACAATATGAGGGGAGATGATGGCACCAACACGTCCAGAAAGGGAGCTGCTGCCAATTCCAGAGTTTCTTACAACCGTTGGAAACAGTTCCGCAGAAAATACGTAAATAATGCAATCAGTTGCTCCAAATCGTCCAATCATGGTCAGGGTTATTGTGATCCATTCGTGTTCTGAAAGGTAAGTTTCTTCCTCTATAAACTGGATATACAATCCTGCAACGATGTGTCAATGTATACATGCATATATACAGACCTTTAGTTCCATACATTATGGGGAAGATTGTGGCAAGACAGGCAGTCCCTCCTAGCAACATGTTTCCGCAATGAAGAACTTTTCTGCCCAGTTTGTCCATAAGAAACAAACTGAGGACGATGGCCGTGACCTCCGCGATATTCCCAATGGTGTAGTTCAGGAAGATGTCACCAACCAGATCGTCGACGTTGAGGGCTAGGCCGTAAAACACCATGATGATCACAAACCTGTTAAACACAGACATGTTGACTGTATGCAGACAATGGGTGAATGGGTGATTTTATCTCTGTGACATATCACGGCACACTTTACACGACAAACGAATTCGAACGATATTGCGAGTGGGAAAACATTAATCAAAAAGATTATACAAAGTCAATGTAATGAGCATGTGCGTGCCATGCCAAATGCAATTAAATTCGCTTTGATTGGGGTACTTTCTCGGCGTTTTATCCTGATTAATTCCTGTTCACTTTGTAAAGCTCCAAGTTTATCATGGGACAATGTGCCAGGGTTTCGTCCCTTGGACACGTCAGAAACATATGGACGTTGATTCCAATCCATGCTCGGCCCTATTATGTTTCCAGGTTTGTTAACATCACATCCGTGCCGTGGGTTTGACAAGACCTGCATCACCTCAAGCGTTAAGTCAGGACTCAGTCACGTTCATGTATACAATCTAAAACCTTTAAAACCTAAACTGACAAACGCTCAACATAAAACCTAACACTAACCCTTGTTTTGTTACATACGCTTCGTCTTTTATTAACAAATCCATGCTTATTGTAAATAGTGACTAAAGGGGTCAGGTGGTCAGATTCACTGACATGGTTCATGTCATAGTATCCCAGTAGCGTAGGTTTATCCTCATGATGTCAGTCGCTGAAATTACTGTAATCATAACGGCGCCCTCAGCTATGCCAATGACGATCACTTGAAGTCCGGATGAGACAAACCATCAAGTGATATAATCAGCAACGCCTCACGTCATCATCTACAATCGTTTACCGTTCACATTGTATGACTCTCGGGTTGTACACCAAACATTGGATATTCACTGGAGATTCAGATTGGGAAACTGCCAAAAACACACATCATTTTAATAATAATCCCCTGGAGAATTACCATTCACTGCCTGGTGTAGGTGCAGAGGGGGTAAGGGTAAAAAAAGTGTGAAAAAGTGAACAACAGATAATAGTCATAACGTATATGACCCTGCATTGTAATGTTTAGAGCGCATTCAACCAACAGGTCAGTCAGTTGACAGTACTTAGGGAACAGATGGGTCTTTCAGCCAGATTTAAAGGAAGTCAAGGAATGAGCGCGTGTGAGGCAAAGGGGAAAGGATCCCGGCACAGCAGCAGAGTGTTGACGTGATTTGGCACCGAATGTACTCACTTGTAGGGAGTTGAGGAACGAGGGATTCTTCTGCTGAATTACGGTTTTGAGTTTGAACACTCAGAGAGATCTGGTGGGCAAGAAATAAGTCTAAAAGTTGTATCATTTCTGGGACTTGTAGCCAATGAAGTGACTTGATGTTTTCTCCAGACGTAGTCTTAGTAACTAGCCTTGCTGCTATATTTTTCAATCTTTGCAGTCTGTGAATATCTCCATAAGAAATGCAACAGAGTAGACTGTTGCAGCAATCCATGCGGGAAACGTGTGATCATATGAGTGTTGCAGCGTAAGAAAATGTAGAATAGAAATATAAGCGGAAATGACAAGTTCTACAAAGTGCTATGAACTCTAAACTGTTGATTCTATACACTGATCACATGCCCTTTCTCCTTTTCGCAAAACCAAACTGTTGTTTTATTGGCAACCGTAGAAACTGACATCATATTTTCAACTAGGAATACCACTATCCTACCCAACTACATGATGACACTTGATCCATCGGACATTGTCTGAAACAATTGTTCATCTGCTACTTTCGGTGAGTATGTGTGATATTTCCTGTCTCCTCTTCACACTCACTTGGTATTCCCAACAAAAACAATGCAATATGTATCATACCATTCCACCATGGACTCACCAGTTGAAGAAAATTATGAGTGTTCTTGTTAGGAGGACATGTGATTTGAACATCTCCGTAATCTTTGTTGATGGACCGTTATCAAGAGTGTCGTTGTCAAAGAGCACGTCGGGCAGACTCACTCCATTCACGTGTGCTGCATCTCGCAGAATCTTCTCTGCCTCAATCTCACGACCTCGGGATAACAACCATCTTGGAGACTCTGGAACTAGGCTGAATGGAAAATGCACTTAAGGACTATTAAAAATAATCAAATACGACGATCAGCCCAATTTGTGTAGATCCTCTGGGCATATTCTGCTGTGGTAGTGTCCAATATTGGAACCTTCTTGGAACACCACACTATTACTGAAGGCATGCTGCCTTATATTTCACAACACGTCGCTACATATTTTATGTGTGAGGAACAATGGAAACAATGAGTCACGACATCATGGCTATATTGCATCAGGTGATAGGAACACACACTCCTGTCATGGTGATATCAGGTGATATAAACTCAAACTATTCCAGTCTGGATGTCGTCAAGAAACACACACACACTCCTGTCATGGCTATATTGCATCAGGTGATATAAACTCAAACTATTCCAGTATGGATGTCGTCAAGGAACACACACACTCCTGTCATGGCTATATTGCATCAGGTGATATAAACTCAAACTATTCCAGTCTGGATGTCGTCAAGGAACACACACACTCCTGTCATGGCTATATTGCATCAGGTGATATAAACTCAAACTATTCCAGTATGGATTTCGTCAAGGAACTCAAACTACAGTATGGATGTCGTCAAGGAACACACACTCCTGTCATGGCTATATTGCATCAGGTGATATAAACTCAAACTATTCCAGTATGGATTTCGTCAAGGAACACACACACTCCTGTCATGGCTATATTGCATCAGGTGATATAAACTCAAACTATTCCAGTCTGGATGTCGTCAAGGAACACACACTCCTGTCATGGCTATATTGCATCAGGTGATATAAACTCAAACTATTCCAGTCTGGATGTCGTCAAGGAACACACACACTCCTGTCATGGCTATATTGCATCAGGTGATATAAACTCAAACTATTCCAGTATGGATTTCGTCAAGGAACACACACACTCCTGTCATGGCTATATTGCATCAGGTGATATAAACTCAAACTATTCCAGTATGGATTTCGTCAAGGAACACACACACTCCTGTCATGGCTATATTGCATCAGGTGATATAAACTCAAACTATTCCAGTCTGGATTTCGTCAAGGAACACACACACTCCTGTCATGGCTATATTGCATCAGGTGATATAAACTCAAACTATTCCAGTTTGGATTTCGTCAAGGAACACAGACACTCCGGTTGATGTGTGTGTGTTTTGAGTACCACGTAATCTAAGTAATACACGAGAAACAAAAACAGAGTCTGAACTGAAGAGACCGTTAGGGCGGGGCATACTTACCTTGTTTAAGAACACCAGGTGTCATCTCTGATTTCAGTGGTCCAGTCATATAATTATAACCACCATTTTGCATTTTACGTCCAACGGAGTCTGATACTTGATACTAGACGGATGCTCGAGAGTGGGTATTCTGTAACGTTGATGGGTTATACTTACCAGCAAAATCCGAGCTGGAAATGATCAAGCTACTTACCAATATAATCCAAAGAGGAGGGCCACAGGAGCAGAAATGGAGAGTTGCAAGAGATGCCAGTCTCGGATGAAGTATGCGAAACCCCCCACCATGAACAAACCCGAGCACCAGAAGAGCTTGTTGATCACACCAGCCAATGTACGTTTGGATGGTCCAACGAGTTCCAATACTATGGGATATATAAACATGCTATCAGCTCAATATTAGCAGACTTTACTCCTGCTGACGACTAGCCTGCATTTCGTGATTTTCTCCGACATTATGCTGACATGACGTGATATGACAGGAATACCGTTCCAAGTGGCGTTAAACTCGATCTTTCGCTTATTCCGTCCCTTAAAGATGGTTGTGACGTAAATAATACACAGTGGTGTGCCATAATGATGTCATAAAATGGCCACCGTGAAGCGGTGAGTAATAGGTGGGGGGCAAGTTAAAATGCTTGGTGCGCTCAATCAAATTTCACAGGGTACATTTTCAGGGGTCACATGCAATGTAGGGGGAGTAACTCTCGTCGTCTGCTTCAAGTAAACAAGTTCAAGGTCAACTTCTCAAAACGGTGAAGAGAAGGAAATGCTTGTCAGAGGAGGTCAGGAAATCATTCTTGAGATGAATTGAGCTGAATTTAAACAAGCAGACATTGTAGATGCCGTCCAGAAGGGTTAAACCACCATTTCCAAGTTGTTAAAAAGAGTTCAAGTGGAGAATGATAAAGAGAACATGCCCAGACGTGGTAGGCCCCCAGTTCTGACAGAGAGGGGAGACAGGGCACTTTTGAGAACTGTCACAAACAACAAAAGATCACTTGGGGACATCACAAGTATTGTAAATGAGGCATTACCACCTAAAGTAAGTAAGATGACTGTTCAAAGTCATCCCCACAAGCTGAATTACAGGAAAAGATTCGTGAGGAAGAAATAGACAGTAGGTGCTGTGAACAGAACCAAGAGAATGCCATGGTGTAGGGCACATTTTCATTGGAAAACTCAAGCTAATTGGTGCAAAGTGATACTTAGTAATGAGATTGATGTTCGTGTAAACAATAGAAAAAAACAAGTGTGGAGAAGGCCTGGTGAAGAGCACAGATCATATTGTGTTGGCTGCAGTTGCCCTGATTTTTTGCCAAGGGGAGAACGATTTGTGATTATATGGGGGTGTATTTCCTACCATGGATCTGGTAGACTGGTCCAAGTTGATGGTAATATCAACAGTGAGAAGTATGCATCTATTTTGGACGAACGTCTGTTACCTGTCATTCCATTTCAACACTTCACAAATGGTGATTATCTTTTCCAAGATGACAATACCTCATGTCACGAGTCTCGTTTTACAAAAGATTAGAAAACTAAGAATGAAATAAAATGTTTAACATGACCATCACAATCACCAGACATCTGTGGCCGCTGATTAAAATCAGGCTACAGAGAGTTTCACACACCATCAAATCAAAAGAAGGAACGCTTTTAGCAGATTCTCAGGATATGACAGCCGATTACCTCTGCATCATATTCAGGCACTATAACCATCTGTTCCAAGAAGAATAAGAGCTATGGGGAAAAATAAAGGTCATATAACATCTATTCCAAGAAAAATAGGAGCTATGGGGATAAATAAAAGTCATATAACCATCTATTCCAAGAAGAATAAGAGCTATGGGGATAAATAAAGGTCATATAACCATCTATTCCAAGAAAAATAAGAGCTATGGGGATAAATAAAAGTCATATAACCATCTATTCCAAGAAGAATAAGAGCTATGGGGATAAATAAAGGTCATATCACAAAGTATTGAGCATCCAAAGTTTTTTTTTGTCGTTAATTTCTACTTTTCTGTGACCCTCTGTATGTTTTGCCATCAAACATGGCGGCTATTACTGTAGTAGGTGTTTTCTAATGAATGAGTGCAATATATACTCACCGCCAAAAGAAACGCGAATAATGTAGATATTAACGAGTAGATATTGATGAATTTCGAGTTTCTTTTGGCGGTGAGTATATATCGATGTCCATAAGTGAAGCACCATTTGTAACATGGAATTTTCTTCGTTACAGATGAAACTAACCGAAAACAAATGATGATATCAAAAGTGTAATGCTAGAAGCCCCATTGAAGAATCTAAATATGACAAAAGCCACGAAGTTTGGGGAAAAGGCTGTTCCTATGCCGGAGCCAAGGTGAAGTACTGCAGCCATCAGTAGCACCTGCTTGCGTCCAAACCTGGAAGAAATATTCATTACACTATTACTAAAGTATGCATATTCTGAATGACACTAATTTACACCGAGTACTTTGTTTACATGACAGGCAAGTATCTACATCGATCAGACAGAATTATGCGCGTCTGTATCGCGAATTTGTTGAAGCATGCAGGAGTGTTTACTTACAGATCCGATACGATGCCAGAAATGACTGATCCACTGAGAAGACCCACAAATAAAACACTGTTTGTCAAAGACCTCAAGTTGCTGTTGCTGCACACCATGTTCAACTGGAAGACAGTAACACCAGGTATAATATTTGCTGTAATGACTTAGTTCGGACTTTCTATTCTATGCCATGACCTATACAACCCTCATGAATCTGTGTGTCATTTATGGGGACGTCGTGTACATCCTACCCTATCAATGACATTTTGAGATACACGCAACTTGATAAATGCTTTTGAGCTTTCTATAACAGTCACACTTTGCCAGAGATCACCACGTTAAAAAGTAATACGTCACACTGTGTGCATCTCCTACAATATATAATATGTTCCGTTGTTGTGTGACACACAATGCCAAAATACATTATCCGTTAGGTCCAAAATCTGATACAAAAATTAGGTCCACATGAGTTCGATAGGTTTGAGGTCTGGTAACCAGGTTGGCATTATGGTCCACGTGGGTCAAGAACGGTCCAGGTGCTCTCAGCATCAGCCTCATATATACATCCATAATATCACCCTTGTAGTTCGTAGCTGCTGGATCCGGGTCCCGTTCCACAGAACGATCGTAGCGCTAAGATGATCGCAACTCCCATATACTTTAACATAGATTTACGACTGTCGTAACGCTACGATCGCTTTAAGGAACGGAACCCTGGAGATCGGTTCATCTAGTTTTACTCATCCCTCTTGTCGGCTGTATTGGAATCCTGAAATCTTTCTATTCGTGTACGTCATTCGGGGACGACAATCTGTTACGTCTAGACAGTATCCCGACTCTTCAGAAAAAGGTACTGAAGTTCTTTCCATGACTGTCCAATTGATCTACAGTCCCATCCAACGTGCATTCCTGTGGTGACCGGCTATGGTTCAAATACAGCCTCACAGAGGCGATTACGCATGGAGTAGGAACGTTAACGCTACATATTTCTTCCGCAGTGGCAGTGACGAAAGGAGGACGTTTTGTTGCAAACAGAAAAAGCCAGTCATGGAACGAGAAGCTGTGTGGTGGGACGCTGTCGACCATCAACATGTCGCTGAGTTGCTGATTCAAAAGTCTGGTATTCAGTTGCTGGTCACACTTTGGTTGACGCAAAGACGTTTGTTATTGATGCAGTTTAGGTCAAAACATACTCTTTAACATCAATATTTAACAATTTCTCATTTTAGATTTCTGTTTGCAGTTTTAATTTCAACTCTCTTTTTTTCTTTGCATAAAATATGAGAAAACTACATCTATCGCTGACATCAATTTATATTGGTGAATTACCTGTTCCAGCTCTTCCGACTTGAATGGCAAGCAGTTATTTGTCCAAATGATATCTAGTGAGTGCATGGATGGAAGTCGGTTTACGCACTTTGTTCAGGAGCCATTGCAAATTGTATCATTCTCCCTATTAAATGTACTTTCAATTCTGTTGAATGTTTTAATACGCCGTCAATGGTCTGATACAAAAGTTCGTTGCCTACCTCTGTAACAGCAGTGCTCTTGAAAATGGACTTGTCGTACACCCAGACACGGCATTCCTGTGTTGTTCTGTTTTTACCCACCAGAACATCTTCCTTGTAAATGTGACAGGGGTCTCTGACATTGGTACCTTTTACTATCTTCCAGGGGATGGTGGCGTTGAGAAGCAGCTCATGGTGAGGCCCTTGTATGGCAAAGGTGTCGTTGGCGATCCCAGGAAGAGCACATCTTAAAAAAACAACAGCAATGTATAAAGTCATACCTACTTGAAATGTTAATGTTGGTGATTGTATTGTTAAGGAAGTTACTCCTTCACCCATCTATGTACCATAAGCATAATCTCTATTTTAAGTTGTATTTATACCACCACGGGACGAAAAGCTGGATAGCACACCATTTAAATAAAGGTAAATACAGTTACTGTTGTAAGCACATACTATGAACGGGTTTGCGTACGTTTTCGGACATTTCCTAACTTTGGTCGCACCTTTGAAACATACGATCACCGTAGAGCAAATCAGGCTATATATTTTGTCTAAAAACATATTATCAGCTTGCTCTTACTGGGTTTACGACTTAATCCATTCTGCTTATTGGCTTCATGGTCCGTGCTATTTGTTGTTCTTACTCCCACCTGGCCTCATCCAATTATGCACCACTTGTTATTGAATTAAATGCTGTTGTTAATGTTAATCTGTTGTTTGTCACAACATACTGTGTATACATACTTCCCATCCCTTGGTTGTAGTCACTTTTAACGGTGACAGAATCTACACCGAAACGTCGCCTAATGCAATAAACACGAATCTGTCATCCATAATGGTGTATGCTAAATGCTAAAACAAGAAGGTGCCAACTTTGATGGACAACATAAATGTATTTATATGAATAGTTTGCTTTTACTGTTACTGTTTACTAAATAATGTTTACACAAATTTTCAGGCTTCCATTTTAATAATACCTAATGGTGTATATGAGATTTACGAATAACAAGCGTCTTGCATGTAACCTTCAATATTCCCCACACATTTACAAGTCAGTTTACGTAAATATCTTGATTCCATTTTCTCTAAACAAGATTCCATAAGTATGGTGTTACTTTGTCAGAGATTATACAATAACGTCAAATAATGTGTCTTGTAATCTCTATTACTACACATGTGTGTGTTCAAATCTGTCAGACTGTTGTTTAACGCCGCACACGGCAATATTCCACATACATGTATATGACAGCGATCTGTAAGTAATCGAGCCTGGAAAAGACAATCCATGAGCATCTATTTTCGCAAATGGTATGGGTTACGATGAAATGCACCAATCAAGCCAGCCAGTCCAACATATTTGTAAATTATAGCTGTCAGATGGTTAATGAATATATGTTCAAGTTAGTCCGTGTTTGATTGTAGATACTTCCCAATGTTTACACTTGATGACAGAGAATGAACACAATCTATTTCATCATTAATATTTGAATCGTACAGTGGAAATTCTAAGTAACACAATCGTCTGTCATCAAATTACATGTAATCACTATCAGCTATTCAGAACACAACTATATGTTATTATAGACATTGGCAAACTGTGTTAGATCCATTAGAAATGGGCTCTGCGTGGAAACCCGTTTTTTCATATAGACACGAAGGAATACCTAATGATCCGAACAGACCCAGAAATATGACAATGGAAAGATTACCTACGTACAATGCAGGGCTAAAATAGTTAATTAAGTAGATATGTCTTCACTTAACGTCAAACGAACTCCTTGCTTCCATAACACAAAGAGATTCCTTGTATCAGAGACTCTAGTTAGCACTAAATCATGGCGTTTAAGCTAACGTGCCTATTACGCTAACGTCAAATGAAACGATGAACGTTGGGTCACATTTTGCCAGTACCTGACAATCTGAACAGCACTGAAAAGAGTCCATGAAGGATTTGCTTATCCTATGTTTCGAAAGTATAACTAATAATTATTATAAGAGGAAGCGCTTTACAACTAGGATCGACCGTTTTGTGTCCGCGCTCTGTTTGATTCAGTTCCCGGCATGGAAAATAACTACCAAATATTCATAAGACAAAATTCGTTTAAGACGAATAAACCTAGAGAAGGATACGAAAACAAGTACACACAGCTATGTTTGTTGGAACTTTCCTACTGAAGGAGGGCAGGATACTAAAGCTAATGAGTTTGGAAGATTCACCTTCACAACTTGAATACTATGCAAATATTAATACGACTTTGTAGTTTTAGACGAGAGTTCTGTCAGAAGACGTCCATAAGATTTATTTTATATATATTCTCTTTTAATTGCGACGAGCATGCCCATCCTCAGTAGTTGTTACGTTAATCTTAAGATCAGGTTTTAATCTCTTTTTCGTAACCGTGATATTCTATCTGAGTCTGGGCCAGTGTTTGAGCGACTATGGTCGTATAGTGGCATACATTCATTCAGCGTCAGGTAACACGATAACCCCCATTTCATTCTGTTCAACAAGGGCGATGGGTAGCCTAGTGGTTAACGTGTTTGCTCGTCTCGACAAGATACGGGTTCGATTCCCCACATGGGTACAATATGTAAAGCCCATTTCTAGTGTACCCCGCCGTGATAATAGTGGAATATTACTAAAAGCGGCGTATAACTAAACTCACTCACTGTTTACAAAATTGTGTTTTGATACAAAAACGTCCAAAGCAAGTCTACAATACTCTAACAAGTTTAGATGTCTTCAGTTGGAAAATAGCTGGTTTTGTGTACATATATTTCACGAAAATATTTCATCTTAGAGACAAAACTGCCTTTTGATAGATACATTCGAACCACATTTTAGCCTCTTTTTCTAGTATAGCTAGGGTTCCAATGTTAAGTAATAGACGTCCCATCACGAAAACCACAGTATTACACTTCTCTTTTCACGATTCTGATTCTGAAGTTCACATTGTCATAACCATGTGCGTCTTACGGCGGCTGCTAATGATGCAACCACTGACAAGGGTTGGGTGAAACGCTAACCATGGACAGGAGACTGTATGTGAACTGTCGATACCCAACAAACGAAAAGAACAACCATTCTGAAAGACTCACTGGTGGTACACTGGTATGAGTTTGTTTTGTACCATTAGCCCTGATATCAATGTGTGAAACCGCAATTTTCATTATTTGTCACAGAATGCTTGTAGGTAACGCTGTTTCACTTCCAGCACTCGTCTTAGTTTAACCATATGTTTCGTCACATACATGTTTATGAAGGAATAAGAAGACAGTTTGAGTTTAATGTCTCTACATGGAAGCAAACATGGCGACCACCCTGTAGTAACAATGTTAATTCTATCAGGGCGTTCGCTGTTTTAGTGAGGGAGTATGGTTTTACGCCGCTTTAGCAATATTTTAGCGGGAGACACCAGAAATGGGCTTCATAGGTTCGCTGTTTTAGGTTCCCTGCATGGTATAGAACTACCAAATATTCGTAGGACAAAATTAGAATAAACCTACAGAAGAATGTGAAAACGAGGTACATATAGCTGAATTTGTTAAGTCTGAAGGAAGGAAGGCTAATTAAGCCAACGAGTCCCGAAGATATGGTATGCAAATATACTATCCAAAAAAGAAACGCATAACCCAGAAATCTGTTGCGAAAATGTAATTTCAAACATGTATAACTCGTCCACAAATAGAGTATAGTACATGAAATTTTACATCAGTTTAGAAGAAGGAAATGTCTATACAACCAAGTGGATAATTTTAGTTAACGGAGACGATGAGCGCGATGGCAACGACGTAGCATGGTCCCGACGTGGGGTCTTCTGGCTCTCAGTCCAATCTCTCACAACCTGTTCCGTACCGTTTGACCGGATATCCTCTGAAGTCCAGGCACCCTGGCACCCTGCCCTCACTCGGGGAGTACGATTACGCAAATGTAGCACCCGGATGTGCCGATCTTTTGCGGCAGTGGTGACACGAGGTCTGCCTGTACGGGGACGGTCATTTGTTATACCTGTTTGGTTGTAACGAGCTGCAAGCCGTGATATCATGTTCGAACTAACATTCAGACGCCTGGCAACAGAAGATTGGTAATCTCCAGCGTGCATTCTTTCAATGGCGATGTTCCGTGTTGCAGAATCAAGACGTGGCGTGGTGATGTGAGCTTGAAACTCCTTCAAAACGAATGCCGATTTTTGAAGTTAATCTGGATTTTTATAGCCAGACGGTGCATGCTCTTTGCTGCACAATTTCAACTGGAAGGTCATTTCTGTTGCGTTGTGGCGATACCATTTTAATCCATGTAAGAAATCTCATCAAAATCAACATTTTCAGGTCAAGTCGATTTTTCACTTGTACAATTGTGTAAAGTCATGTTATCAACACTTTTGTTACATATTTGGACGATTGTTGGAATACAATAGGTAATTAATAGATTTTTAATATACAAAATGTCTATGCGTTTCTTATTTTGATAGTATATTCAAATGACTTCGCAGTTTTGGACGAAAGACAGATCTAATCAAGGGTTCTGTCAGAAGACGTTCGTAAGATTTTTTGTATATATAATCTATTTTATTTGTGATGAGCATGCACTTCCTCAGCTGATGTAGTTGATACGTTAATCTCAAGATTAAGTTCTTATCTCTTTTCCGCTACTGCGATGTTCTACACAAACAAATATCCCAAGCAAATCTACAATACTCTTGCGATCGCTAGACATAGACAGTACACAGCAAGGAATACATAATATCACAGCAAATACATCGCAAGTTAGCTGACCCCATCGTTTATCAGTGGATTATATCCGATTGAAATGATGAATACTTGATGCCTGATATCAGCTGACCAAACAGAGCCATTTACACGTGGCCTTTAGCTGCGATGTACACGTATTCGTATGTTATATTTCTGTGCGCTTGTGGTGAAGTTAGCTCAGTTTAATACAACATACTCACATTTAGAAAATAATGTGATATTATCAAGCTATTTACGATAATTGCTCATGAATCCCACTAAGGTCCATGCAGGAAGCAGAGGCACTGTAAGTCCCCATGGTACATAGTACGGTGATCTTCAGCTGTTGGTAATCAATAGCCTGGTTTTGCATTGTATCGTCTTCTATAGTTCAACTGTTTAAGATTTAATCACTAGTTTTCAATTTATATCTCTGATAATCAAGTTGTTTTGCTGTCATTCGTTGAATCCTTTAAATTGTTATTAATCTAAAACTTTATTTAGTCACGATAT